ATAGATACCAACCAATCATCTTGAAACAATATCACTACAACTAGTTTCAAGAACATTGGTAACTACATGTAATTACTAAAGATCTAACGCATCAGTCATTATCAACTAATCTTGAACTATCTTGAAAAATCTGAAATTGACCAACTATCAGTAATCAACTGAGGAAAAAAATCAAACTCAAGCAAATACGTTCTTGGAAACGGGGCAAAAAATAGTTCCAGTGCAACTAATCCTCAAACTGATCATTCATTGATACGTACAAAAAATGACAACTTCAATAAATCTGACAAAAAAAACAAATGGATCAGATTGGATCAGTAATTTCCAACTAATTACTCATCATGAATTGCGTTTTATCAACTAATCATATTAGTACTTGCTGATCCGCAATTATTTCTGGAAACCAAACAATGGCGTTGTACGTTTCAAGCGAATAATTCTGGTGACAAAGATCCCTTGTACCCTAAGAATAATTAAACACTCATCATTGTATTGGACTTATGGACACAGACTGAACAGATCGGTATCCGTTGAAAACCTGAACTGATTCGTGCGATGTGTGGATCCCAACTATCAGGGCGATTCGACATCGCCAGACCCCGAAAGCAATGCGAAAGTTGTCTAGCAGAACTAATCAAAGCTCAGCTTCTCCCCTCAGTTACGGCCATTATAACTGCTTATTATGGGATTTCATACATTCTATCCATAGGGTATTCTTAGTACTAACGTATAACTGAAAAAATCACAGGAAACCCCGATATTTAAGGTAAAAACCATGGTAAAAACCATGGTAAAAAACATGGATTTCCGGTTCAGGTTTTCCCTTAAATGTTTTCCAACGGTTCTCTGACGCGAAATCATCGGAGAGGCCACTGTACAGTCGCTGGCGCATTTCAAGGATGGACCTATTCATTGCAAACTTGATATCTTTATATCCTACCAGTAGTACCGCACAAGGCGGTGGCGGAAGTTTCAAAAATAGGAAACCTATATAGGAGAGGTTGGTTGTTGTGAACCAGGGATGGCAGAGCGAAGCCACTGATGGATTGAAAGGTGCTTGATCTCTCTCACTCTTTCTCTCTCTCTCTCTCTCTCTCTTTCATCTAATTACCCAATCTATCTATCTATCTATCTATCTATCTATATACCTATCTATCTCTCTCTCTATCTCTCTCTTTCATCTGTCTATCTGTCTAGCTGTCTACCTGTCTATCTGTCTATCTATCTAGCTATCTGTCTATCTGTCTACATGTCTATCTGTGGTGCAGTGTCATTCAGTGTAATGTAATGTAGTGTCGTGTAATGTAGTGTAGTGGAGTGTAGTGGAATGTAGTGTAGTGTAGTGTAATGTAGTGTAGTGTAGTGTAGTGTAATTTAGTGTAGTGGAGTGTCGTGGAGTGTAGTTGTGTATTCGTAGTTGTAGTTGTAGTGTAGTGGAGTGTAGTGCAATGTAGTGAAGTGTAGTGGAAGGTAGTGTAGTGTAGTGTAATGTAGTGAAGTGTAGTGGAAGGTAGTGTAGTGTAGTGCAATGTAGTGTAGTGTAGTGGAGTGTAGTGTAATGTAGTGTAGTGTAGTGTAATTTAGTGTAGCGTAGTGTAATTTAGTGTAGTGGCGTGTAGTGGAGTATAGTTGTAGTTGTAGTGGAGTGTAGTGGAGTGTAGTGTAGTGTAATGTAGTGTAGTGAAGTGAAGCGAAGCGAAGCGACATCTGAACCTCCAAAAGTGGTCCGAACCCCTTGTGTTTTGAACATTTTGACTTCGAAATGTGCTTCGCGCCACAACGGCGTGCACTTTTTCGACATCTCAACTTCCAAAAGTGGTCCGAGAATGGTGTGCTTTGCACCTTAATGTGCTTGTGCACTTTTTGAACGAGAATTTTGACATTTTGACGAAATGTGCTTCGCGCCACAACGGCGTGCACTTTTTCGACATCTCAACTTCCAAAAGTGGTCCGACGCTGAGGTGTTTTGCACATTTTGACTTCGAAATGTTCTTCGCGCCACAACGGCGTGCACTTTTTCGACATCTCAACTTCCAAAAGTGGTCCGACAATGGGGTGTTTTATGCATTTTGACTTCGAAATGTGCTTCGCGCCACAACGGCGTGCACTTTTTCGACATCTCAACTTCCAAAAGTGGTCCGAGAATGGTGTGCTTTGTACATTTTGACTTCAAAATGTGCTTCGCGCCACAACGGCGTGCACTTTTTTGACATCGCAACTTCCAAAAGTGGTCCGCTCCTCTAGTGCTTTGTCCATTTTGACTTGGAAATGTGCTTCGCGCCACAACGGCGTGCACTTTTTCATGTCTCATCTGGCCAGCTGGCTCCGCACCCGCCGCTTTAGCGAGCCTACTTTTCGACCCTCCGGAGCCACAAATCATTGGAAAAACACAGTGTTTCGCGACTTTCCTACCTTTTCGCGCATCTGCATCTTCTTTCTTCTTACTCTTTCTCTACTCTTCTTTCTTCTAATCTTTCTCTTCTCTCTGCCTCTTCCCTGCTCTGCTTTTCATCTGTCCATATTGTCGGAAGTTTGACTTCTAAACTTCCTTCGATGAATTCATATGCCATATTTGATTGCACCAATTTAGAAGCTCGAACCGTCTAAGTTTGCTGAAAACATGTAAAACGAGAACATTAGCCTGACAAAAACCAACACTGCCATCAGTATCGACCACTCTTGGTGTTATTTCTTTCGATGCACTACTGCATTCATATGCATTACATCACAAAATCTAGTATATAGTCGCTTCAAAACAGCAACATGACGGAGTTCGGTGGTTAAACTTTGTAAAGGGTGCTGCCATTGAAGATCCTTAAAATTCTGCACATCCTGTTGATTCGAGAGCTACCTCAATTGGTCACTGCTGTCATGCATTGACCCCATGAACAGCAACAAAAATTGGCAGTTGCCTACGCTTCGTGCAGGAGCTGTACTGTAGATAAGGCGGAGTGCAGCGCGTGCATCGAAAACGCCGCAGCAAAGCTTAAAACTATGCTAGGCTTACACAGCCCTGCGAGCAAAAATGGAACCTCCAGGAAAATAAACATATCTAAAACGGGGTTGGAACATATCCTATTGGACATTGCAAATTAAATGGGTTCCATTTAGTTCTCAAAGGGTGTGAGGGTTTGCAAGTCGCAGTTGCTTTCCGGCAAACATAGAGGCCGCAGACTTATGACTTGGCCATGTCGAAATACATCTACTTGCATGGTCTTGTTGATCCCCAGAAAAGTCAACCTTCCCACAAGAGATACATTTTAGTAAACCCGAATTCCGGAATCTATTCCAGACTTGGGGGCTTCACAAGAAACACAAGAACTGCTTGGTTGCATCGCACAGATCACTGGGACACCCCTGGTGGTCCAAAAATCCTTCAACCAGTAACGACAGCTGGTCTCCATGTCAGCCGATGCAATGTTTGCATATCCATCCATCCAAATCAAATCATCCAGGTCAGGACAAACAATCTGGACCTCGGAGCCTGTACAATGACCTCTGTGGGGCGGCACGATCACAACATTTCGAATTAGGCACAACTTTTCATTGTGCGCGCGATCATTTACCCTATGGCCAAACACATGACATGTCGAAACAACATTTTTGCACACAGGATGCTGCCCCCCAGTTTTAAGTTGGTTTATAAACCCCATTGACTATAGTTATATCTGCCATAAACCATACTGTTAAGCCACTTAGAAAGTGAAGTAGCTATCTTGGGGGCCTCATCCTGCAGGTGCCCGGTGGACAACCAGAAAACACAACGAAACGAACAGTAAATCATGAGAGAAACCTGGAACAAAAAAACTTCCCACAAAGCCAGGTTTGAAGGACGAGGGCCATAGGGCAAAACCTTTACATTTGACAAAGTCAGCTGACTATTGTAGAGACCAATGTCATTGGGCGCGCTACAAAGTCAGCCGACAAAAACACATGTGCTCGGTTGAGGTGTTGGTGACCTCCAACCCATGCATAGTGTGGCATCCAAAAATGGAGACTGTGGGAAACCTATGAAGAACAATTGCTAGGCCCTCCATGTCTAGAGAAATAGCATTAACGTCGTTTTAACGTGCAGGTTCACCAGGGGTTACCCAGAATATGATTGTCTTATTGCAACACTGCAAATAAATAGACACACAATTGACTATAATAAATAGATAGATAGATAGATAGATAGATAAACGAAAAAAAAAACATAGAGCCATCCATGCCACATGATCAAACTTTCAATCTACCCAACTCCAGCTTCTTCAGCAGCCATTTCCTTAGCGACTTCTGGGGCACAATTGAAACTTGGGAGGACTAAACCATCTTCCCGGTAGATTCCGCTCAACAAATCGACCTAATTGTGGAAAGAAAGAATGAGAAACCCACCTGGAGTTGCTGTATGCCATGAACTCACCTCAGGAACTGGGATCCTTCTTAATTTCAAAGGATCAGAACATATGACTTTGTCTGAGAACAAGTTAGTATCCCAAAAGTTCATGGTTGAAGCCACCTGCTGTATTCATTGGCCATGACCGCGAGTATCCACCACTCTCGGGCAAACCCAACATCATCTTCTTGGATAAATACATCAGATATATCGATATCCCATTCTATCCCACTCTCTCTCCCTCTCAATCGCCTTCTCGAAGAGTTCAGCTAAGCTAAAGGCGAATGAAAAACAAACAACCACACTCTATTCCAGTTTTTCAGTTTTCCATGATATCCTCGATAGACCCATGAAATCCTCTGGCAATCAAAAATGGCATTGGCAATCCCTTATAAATGGAGGCTTTATTGGGAAAAGACTCGCTCTACATCGGCATTTCTGTTCCGTTGCCATTTTTGATTGTCAAAGGTACCTACATGTATCGAAGCATTTCAGAAAATGTTAAGTTATATATCCCATTCTGTCCCAGTTACCCACAGGCCCATTTTTTTTTTGCATATCTCAAACTCATCCAAACATCTAAGAATCTAATCCTCTAGCAAGGTGCTTGGGCACCTGGCTCTTCTCAGAACCTCGGTGCTTCGTTGGCTGAACTTTCTGCTCAGTTGGTTTGATGAAAAATCCAACAGGCTTATGTCATCTGAAAAAATGAACCCATCAAAAAACCCAAGAAAAAAACAAGAAAAGTCGAAGTCTGTGGAGATCATCTGACCTGATAGTCTAGACCTAATCCCATGACAGTGAGATAAGCCAAAGCCTCAGACTCCAAAATCAACAAAAAACTTAAGTCGATAAAGGTCACCATCACGACCAACTCCAGAATCAAACAAAGTTTTGGCCCCAGGAAATATCAAAACTTATCTCCCAGAAAGGAACAAATCTATATGGAAATTTCCCATCAAAAGGTTAGTTTACCTCAGGATGAATCCTAATATATGTTATTGGCTGAATCATAGTAATTCACTAGCCTGAAAATAGCTGAAAATAATTGCCATTTGAGGATAATTCCCTTTACCAGCTATCATTTCAGTGACGTCACAGTGAGGCAGGTATTTTTATATTGATTGGTTTATCGAGTTTTCTTCATATGTATATAAATATATATATACAATATTCTATATAAATATATATATATAGTTACATATATACATACATATATATATATATAATGTCCGTATTTATGTATCTATTATATCCTGTTCATGCCTTTAAATCACCATTCAAAAAGTCCTTCAGTCCCAAGTATGTTAAATCACACTACCCCATTGTTGTTGGGATCCATTAATGAATTTGATCCCACTAATCCAGTTAAATCACCCACAGTTCCCTTAAATCCATACTTTTAAACCATGACTAAATCATAACCATTCAACTAGATGATAGGTTTGTCCCATTACATCCCACAAATCCCATTTAAATTACCCTAGGCCAAACTAACATAGATGTGGAAACCCCATGGTTTCCCTTTCTGACAATGATTTGTAAACTATTGTAAATTACATTTTTCCCACTCTGCTAAGTCACAGGAGGATAGCCATCATTAAATCCCATTGAGTCCCAATCAAATCTCATGAATCCCATTTTTCATCCCATCCAAACTTAAACAACCTATCAAACCTATCAACCTCTTTTTCAATTCACCATGAAGGTCTCAGCCTTTTTTCATCCCATGGTCCCCATGGTCCCCATGGTCCCCATGGTCCCCATGGTCCCCATGGTCCCATGGCCACCGAGTCACTTGGTGGTTCTGGGCCTTCTCTCCGGTCGGCCACCATTCTCCGGCCCCTCGTGGACGTCCAGGAAGGTCTTGCGGATCACCCAGGGGTCGGCCCTCCCCGTGCGGTGGCGCCTTGGGGCGCTCGGATTATTGGATAAAGATATGGATGGATGGATGAATGGATGGGTTAGAGAGATCAGAGAGATCAGAGAGATTATTTAGATATCGATATATATATATATAGGTCGATAGATAAAGATGGATAAATATAGATAAAGATAGATAAAAATAGATAGATAAATATAGAAATATAGAAAGATAAAGATAGATAGATAATGATAGATAGGCAATGATAGACAGATAATGAGCGATAGAACATGATAAACAGATAATGATAGATAGATACTGATAGATAGATAATGATAGTAGATAGATAATGATAGTAGATAGATAATGATAGATAGATAATGATAGATACTGATGATAGGCAGACAGACAGACAGACAGACAGACAGACAGGCAGGCAGGCAGGCAGGCAGGCAGCCAGCCAGCCAGCCAGCCAGACAGACAGACAGTGTGACAAACAGACAGACAGACAGGCAGACAGACAGACAGACAGACAGACAGATAGATAGATAGATGGAGACATAGATATAGGTAGATAAATGGATGGACACGGATGGTATAACCATCACAGGTATGGGACCAACATGGATACATCCATCTATTTAACAACCATTTTGGCACCAGGTATGCCAAGTATATCATCCCATTGTTTGATTATTTGTCATCATTTCCATTTACCCATTATTCTCCCACTACATCAGCCAATAATTACAATAAATATAATGTTAACTAATCTTGCTATCCCACTATTATCCCAAATACTGGGATATTACTATCTCATTACTATCTCACTATTATTCTATACTATATCATTAATAATCACTAATTTAGTTTTTCAAACATATTGTGATCCCATTATTTGATTATGGTTATGAATCATGATTCATCATTCCCATCATTATCCCACTAAATGAACCAACCTGGACCTTCATTCTACCAGAAATTTCTGGACGATGTGATGTGTACTACTAAAACTAGGCGTTTCCCGAAAAAGTAGGCGATTAGGTTGCTTCCAGAAAAACATGGTCCTGTGGATTCAGCCAGCTATGCGGTTGCAATGGCGATGAGGCCTATATATGTCAGCATGTGTTTTTTTGTTTTTCTTTGGGATTTGGAAACATGGTAGCGCGCCTAACTTTGACCATAGCTGTCGTCCACCGTCTTAAGTGCAAATCCAAATTCAAAAAGGAGTTATTGACCACCGGGCACGACCACGGCAGGATCAGAAATAACACATTTGACCCACTTTTCCTGATTTGTAGCCGTTTGATGGGTTTCGCTAGCGTTTTGAAAGTTTTTGTAGGCGTTTTGAACGCAAAAACAGTCGTGGATTCTTGCTTAAATTCAAGATTTGCAGCATCTTTTCAGGTGTTTTCTGTCGTCACCTCTCTTGGAAACAAACCTGCGAAAACCAAACACAATGGAAACATCTATAAGAGAATTGTTAAAATCAACACTGGGGTCCAGAGTTTTTGTTGCTGGATTAAGGCATTCTGGGCCACAAAATCACAAATTCGACAAATTGGTGTGTGTTGATGCCAGTTCTTCCAAAAACATTTAAAAACAATCGTTTTGGTAAACTACCACTTTTTGTGGTCGACTCCGAACAAAAGTGTGCAACAACCGCAGCAACCAAAAATAAATGGACGTTTGAAGATCCCGGAATAATTATTATTCATTCCCATCATTATCCCATTGTTTGATTGTTACTGCATAATCATTCCCATCAGTATCCCAATTACAGTATCACAAATATCCTGTTAGCTAATATTGTTATCCCACTATTATCCCAAAATACTGAATTATTACTGTATAATATATAATCATTTCCATCATTATCCCACTATCTTCATTATCTCACTATTATCCCACTAAATGAATAAAGCGCCAAGCCTCACGTCCTCCTGCCCCAGCTCCACGTCGGGGATTTTGCGCGCTGCCTCTGCCTCCTGGATGCCGGGCGCCACTGTGCCGCCGTTGCAGCGGCGGTAAGCCGTCTTGGCCAGGCGAAAGACCTGGGAAATTCATGGGAAAACCATGGGAAAATATGGAAAAATCAAGGAACCGACCCTGAACTGGGGAAAAAAACAATGATGTTATGAATTATTGGGAAAAATTTGGAGTTGACCCTGAAATTATGAGGAAACATCAGGGATTTTACCGCACAATGAGGAAAAACTGAAGATTGGACCCGAAAACTTTGGAAAATCAAGGACTTTATCCTGACATGTGTGAGGAAAAAATTGAGAAATACCCCAAATGTTGGGCAATTCTTGCAAGTCGATGGCCTTGGAAATTGAGCACGGCCCAACATCCCCAGATACTCTCTCAAGCATTGGCAGCTCAAGACTGACATCCAAAGACTACAGTTTCATTATTTTACTGGTTGGTGGTTTTAACCATCTTGAAAAAATAGTCAATGGGAAGGATTATCCCATATATTATGGAAAATAAAAAATGTTCGAAACCACCAACCAGTTCTGGGTTTTCGCGGGGCTTGCACGGATAGACTAATTTAATTATATATCACACAAAAATTTCGAAAATTCATACCTGAGACGTACGGAACTGTCATAGATTCTAACATTTCTAACTCAGCGACATAAATGTTACAAAATGAAGTTTGCTAGTCCCATCATCTAAGACACTTCCGCCCCAGCCAAGCCGCTTCCAAGAACCTTGGCTTCGCCATCTCCCAGTCGCTGCGTCGCATGACGCATTGGTAAGGGACCAGCTTGCGACTGTCCAAATGATCATAGGTATCAACCTCCAGGCCCATGATACCCAAAAAACCTCGCCAGCCGCCAGGTTCTTGGTGGATTTCTTATGTTTTTTTAAAAAAATCTTTGGGGATGGAATGGAAGTTCTTCTAATTTTGGGGGTAGTCTTTGGGTCTGTTCTTGTCTTTGTTTGTATGGAAAACAGAGGGGCAGGTGAACATTTAGTTAAACTGCAGTGACCTTGATGCTCGATGAAATCTATGCCGATGGAAAACAGCAGAATCAAAAGAGCAGGCAGCAATATTAAACAAGGAGACTTATACTCAAGGTGGGCTGGGCCACCGAAATAGCTAAGTCAGCTAAGTTGGTGAACATAAACTTGGTTAACATTTGGGCTTATGGATGTTTATGGGCAATAAACCATGATATAACTATAGTATTCATGGGGTCTATAAACCCACAAGCATGACGTTTGGGGGCCCCACCTTGTAGAGTTGCAGGTGGGCTAGCGAAGGATGCGCACGTTTTTTGTTCATGTGGGAAACTCAATCATCAAGCCTATATAATATGGGTATGAGCCCTCAACAAAATGGAGGTTTATCTGGTTGGTGGTATACCTACCCCTCTGAAAAATATTAGTCAGTTGGGATGATGACATTCCCAATATATGGAAGATAAAAGCCATGTTCCAAACCACCAACCAGTTTATGGTTTTGGTTTGCCACGCTAACAGTTCATAAACTTCAAGTCGCCACCGGTTTTCCTGTGCAAACATGGTTGGCCAAACATTCTGCGCCCAGTCACCCAGGGAAAATCTTCACCGGAACCCCTTATCTTTCATGGGGGAAAACCATGGAAAAGATGGTTTTATCAGGAGTATGTGGCGTTCAGATATTACGTAATGTTCCCCTCAACCAATCCAGCAGGCAACACTTGATATACTCCGGCATCCGAAATTTGTCGCTCTCAAACCTCTTCCAATGTGGATATCCCAGCTTTGCCCCTGCATCAATGGTGACGATGGCATCGGATTCCCCGCTGGGGATCAAGGGAAATCCTGGGCGGAAATGAGGCGTAGAGGCAGGATATCCTCTATCCTTTTTTTTGGCAAAGAATCAAATTGTCAAGAGCAAATGTGGGTAAACTGTCTTAAACATGACATCTTTACGTAAGGATACGTAAGGTGGATGCGCGTTTGCTTCTACTTCTTGCGGGAAACAATGGGCTCTGAGTTTGGAGGGAATGGATCTTTCAATGTTGGGCCCATAGAGGCCTTGCATCTGGTGGTTTTGGGGCACCGAAAGCACCGGGCTCCAAACCACCAGATCAATCCCTTGAAAAAGATCCCATCCCCACCATTCAAAAAGGATACCCTCCAAGTAAACTAACACCTTGCTATAGAAAACAACTGCCTTTTGATTCGATGATTTACCACAAAAGGATGACTTCCTTTTGTCGTCTGAATTTTCCAGAGGGTGCCGGGAAATTCACCAAGGTTCCACGGCCAAAGCTTTGAATTTGAAGGATCACATAAAAATTTTGGTCCAACGCTCAGCCTTTCGACGCCAGGACGATTGAACATCCACCTTGCTGGCCGTTGACAGCGACGTTTTAGAACAAACGGCACTTGAGGGCCGTTGATGAAAAAAACAAAACTGGCAACTCCGGGGGGAATCTCATCACATTTTTTCACACAACTCTCTTCTGAAATTAATTCATCATCTCATGCTATATCATTCCGTTCACCATTCACCTTATCTGCAGACATGAAAACTGGCCAGGCAATCTACTGGCACAAAACTGTGCAAACCAAATCTGAATTAAGGCCGTGAATTGGTTGGTTGGAAGACCGCTTTCCTCTTTAAAATTAGTGATTGGCTCAGGGTCAAACTATGTCAAACTGGTGATGTTTGGGGATGGTATGCCCCCCTGAATTTAACATATAACCCCAGACATGGTCTTTGGCAGTGTTTGGACTTTGGAAGATCCTTTTACTATATATAGTATGGCCATGGGTTTCATGTCAAATTGGAGATGATTGGAAAATTGACCATGTATAGACTGCATAGATGAATTTCCCGTTGAAAGTTAAAGGCCCATTGATATGGGATGTCCCGGTCAGCCATGTTGGTTGGTTCCTTCGCTCCTTGGTTAGTTTGTTGGTCAGTTACATACTTACTCACTTACGCACATACTTCCTTACTTGCTTACTTGCTTCCTTATTTACTCACTTACTCACTTACTCACTGACACACTCACTCCGTGTACTTAGTTAGTTAGTTAGCTAGCTAGCTAGCTAGTTAGTTAGTTAGTCTGTTAAATCTGTTAGTTAGTCTGTTAGCTAGCTAGTTAGGTAGTTCAAGTCATCACTGAACGGAGTCCAGTTCCCTGAGTGGTCGGCTCGACTGTCTTGTGTGCAACTGTCAAGAGAGTCCTGGGACTCAAACGGCGAATTCACACCCGGTACCCAAAGCTACCGAAAATTGCCATTTATAATGGATTTACCCATTAAAAATGGTGATTTTCCATAGTTATGTTAGTTTACCAGAGGGTAATCAAACGTGGCAATGGAAAATCCATCAGCAAAAACATATGTTTAGTGTTCAACCAGCTCGCATTCCTTTTGACTAGCGGCGCTTCGAAGGGAATTGGTTCAAAGTCAGACTAGGACTCAAAAGAAAGGCACCCGGACATGCCAACGCACCCTACTGACAGGCCCACGGTTTCATCACGTGTTCCACCTGGCCTGAAAACTGGACACAATGACGCACCCAGACACAATGAAACAGGTCCCCCCCAGCCCTAGCGCTATTAGGCACCCTGACACTGGTGTCCCCATCAAAGGCAGGGGAAGTGGAGGCTGAAAGAGCCCAAGTGCTACGGAAAGCACAACTGATTTGACACTATCATTACGGGGGCCCAAGAGTTAGTGTTCAACCAGCTCGCATTCCTTTTGACTAGCTGCGCTTCGAAGGGAATTGGTTCAAAGTCAAACTATGACTCAAAAGAAAGGCACCCGGACATGCCAACGCACCCTATTGACAGGCCCATGGTCTCATCACGTGTTCCACCTGGCCTGAAAACAGGACACAATGACACACCCAAACACAGTGAAACAGGTCCCAAAACAGCAGATCTCCCGGGTGCCCCCCCCCAGCCCTAGCGCTATTAGGCACCCTGACACCGGTGTCCACCCCATCCTGTCTTCTGCTTTTGCAGGCATGAAGGTAGCCAGATGGCGAGGCCTTGGGCAAGGATGGAGTGAGGAGACCAGAGACAAATTTAGCCACTGTCTCTCAGAAGGGGGGAAAGAAAAAACGAAAGGGGTTTGGCCGTGCTTTGCGGGCTAAAAGAAGCCAGGATTGACGCACAGGCGTTGGGGCAGCAATTTCAGCAAGTTGAGCTAAAGCATCCGTAATGTAAATACGTGCGGTTTTCTGACAATTCCATCGGCCAACCACGCCAACATGGGGGAGATTGTTTGAAGAGCGAAACATTTGGGTCGCCCCCCCACGCCGCAAGGAATACCATTGGAAACCGTCAGGAAAGGAAAGCTCAACAAGCAGCTGCTTCAAACGACTGCGCATGACTCCGGGGGCAAATTGCCGCAAAGTATCGCCATTTTGCAAGTTCTTAAGGTAGGACCAAAGGGCTTTGACCAACCAAACATCCTCGATCACCAAGGACTCTTGCGCCCCCACCCGATGACCACTTTTTGTCAGGGGCAGAGACCAAACAACCTTGGAAAAAGAGCGATTGAAAACAAAGTCTTGCTTTTTCGCAGCAAAGAGTTCACCGCGGTACGTGCAAACCGGTCAAAGCCCAGAAGCATTAACACACAGAGATCCTCCCAACCTTTTTCAAAAGCTTTTTGCGCCAACGCGTACACCATAACCGGGGTAAAACGAATGGCGCGAGCTGGCAGTTCTGCCCTAGTCCAACTACCATGAAGTCTCCAACCTCCAACAAGGTGTTTCTTTGCAGCTGGAATGAAGTGTCCTATTCCGCTAAGACAGTCCGAGGCAAAAGCTTTTGGTTCCCCGTTATGCCACAAATATTCAACGAATTCACAAACTCTTGGTGTCCAAAGTAGAAAAGCTTTGTGGATACCCATACCCATGCAGCTGTAAGAATTCATCTATTGTGAGTAGAAGGTGCCACAACCAAACTCTGCAAAGTGCCCAGGGCCCGTCGGTCTGTTTTTCGCTGAGCCACCGAGCGTCGTCCCAACACAATGCCTTTGTTAGGCATGAGTTCGTCGCTGCACCCAGCGGGACGGCCCATCGGCCGGGTTCCAGCTGGACTTGATCCAGCCGTAGCAAGCCAGCACTTCGGAGGCTAGCAAAACAGCCGACACCCGCCGGATGGGTGACTGCAGGGCTTTTGCAGATGTCCGTCCCTTGGTCAACACGCTCAGAGCGACTTGGTTGTCCACCAAGATGACCATTGGGGAGTTGTGGCACTTCACATTGCGCACCAACTTGCGCAGCAGATCAAGGACAGAAACCATCTCCAGCACATTGATATGTTGGTCCTTTCGTTTCCAGGCATATGCCATCAGCACTTTCCATGTCCAACTGGTTGGATCAATGCTGTGGCGAGACATCTCGCTCACTGCATATAGGGCATTCCGACATCGATTCTGATGTCGGTTCGGCAGGCCCACATGTTTTGACGCGGCCTTCAACATTGTCCTCACTTCTAACATCTTGTCCCGGAGCTGGCTGCTGGTCGCTTCAGCGCCACCTCTGCGCGGATTCAGTTGGCTGTGGTTGATGCATGGCCAACCGCCACTGAGGATCACCTTGGTTGCCTTGGCAAACCGTTTCCGCCATTCTTTTACCTCTTCAAAGGTGATGTCCTCAATGTTCTTGTACCAGAGAGCATGCCGGCAGTTTTGCCTGAAGACCTTGCCACATTCAGCACTGTTGTCAATGCCAACATGCCCCATCGGCACCAGTCCCAAGAGGTCCAATGCTTGCTTCAAACCTCCGATCCCGATCCCGGCAAAGCATTCCACCACCAGCACTGGATCAGCACCTGCTCCTTCCAGACCCATGGCTTCATGTGCCAGGGTATGCTCTCTGGACTGACCCTGCTGATTGACAAGCTCCGCCGCCATCCTCTGATGCATCCGTGGCATACACATGCCCACTCAGTTGGCTTTTCTGGTTCATCCAATGCATATATAGGCAAACTCAATGTCAGCATCAGCAGCTCGTCACGCGCTCCTTCACTCATCAGCGCGGTCTCCGCTGCGTTCAAGTCCATGTACAAGTTGTTGAACAAGCAGGAGAGTGTCCGCTTGTATTGCACCGAATGAATGTTCTTGCTCACCACAGATTCAAGGTTGCGGCTGTGGTTGCTCACCTTTTCCTGGGCAATCAGTTGCAGATTGGCTCCCAGCAGCGCCCTTCGGAATTTCAGAGCACTTCCCACCATGCCATTGTCGCCATCGACTTCAGCGCCGAGGGACGTCCATGTTCTTGAGCTTTCCGCTGCTTTCTTTGGATCTCGGCCAACCCCAAGGCGATCCATCTCTTGCCGTAGCTGGAGCTGTTCCGAAGATGGCGTACCTTCCAGAAGTCGCAGCTTCTGTCTTCCAAACCACCTTGAACTGGTCAAAGTTGCCCACGTAGAAAGAGAAGTAGTCCCTTGGCGTCGTCAGGGGCGCCAATAGGGAAGGCGCATTCATCCGCACAATTTTCCCTGGGTCCAAGTTTGCTCTCATTGCCAGGTTCTCACAGCCGTCCTGGATGAAGTCGGCGACGTTGTTCCATCCCATGGGCGCGCTGATCGCGAGGATATCCTCGTTCCTTGATCCCATCCAGGAAGCTGGCTCCGCTTTTGCAATGCGATTGAGCACGAAGAACCCTCGCCAGGCATACCCTGGCCTGTGATATGGAAACAGTGCTTCTGGTCCTCCGCGCAGCATAGACTAACCTCATCATCGTGCAGGCAGAGCGTCCCCCAGCTTAGCCGCTGGAAACCGTTGGACGGGATCAAATTGATGATCCCCGCTCTCGTTCCAGCATATTGGCTGACACCAAGTAAGACACTACTTTGTCCCACTCGTCCTGTGAAGTTACCTGCGCTGCTGCTGAGGTCCTTGGGTGGACCGGCTCCTCATCGCCTATCGGAAGATCCCCCGGTGAGGCTGCAAAGCCCTTCAGCTCACCGCTCACGACGTAGTATGGCCTCCAAGGTCAAGGGTTATAGGACTTACCGAGTGAGGCCCCAGTGTACATGCCACCAAGGCCCTCTTCCAGCTTGTCCCAATCCCCAACCTCAATTTTTTTTTCAGGCTGAGATTGACCTGTCCACTTTCGGGCCAGCATCTCTTGTCGTGCCACAACTTCTTCTTGAGCTGGAGTGTGCTTCTTGGGGTGCACCATCGACCACCTTGCTGTGGCCCCTCCACAGTACATGGCGTTCATCAGAAGAATTTGCAACCAAAGCCACGACTGCCATCCACATTCGAGGGCTTTCTCCTCGCATTGGGCCGCAGTCTCATCCGACCACCCTCCTTCTCCCAGCGCCACTTCGGACAGCTGGCTAATGAGCTCGGCCTCCAAAGTGCTGCCTTGGGGCAGGGCCATAGGGAGCAACTCCACCACCGGCCGCTGCACGATCTCACGAAGTTCCACAAATGACCAGGGCGGTGAAGCATCATGGTCTTCAGTGCCACCCCAGTCAAACTCAGCGACAGTGGCCGAGAGTGCAAGCGCCGCAGCCCCATCTGCCACACCGTTGGAGACGAGCTTGCCTCGCCTGTCAAGCCCAAGCGATCAATAAGCCGTCGTGCCCACTCACGCTCCTCATCTATGACGTACAACCTCCGACCCATCAGCATATGCTGGGCCATAGGCTCATTGAGCTGTGGTATCATATCCTCAGTGAACAGGGAATCTGCAATATCCTTTTTGCCTTTCCTCCACGCCCTTGTAGATCTCCCAGAGCTTACCCTCTGCCCGAAGAGTTCCCAGAGGGACGGCGGGCAGCCCCAGACGACCCATCAAAGGTCCGTTGTGCGAGGGTGGAGTTGCTTGCATTTCAAGCCTTGCCATACCTCAACCATCTCCTGCACTGGCTTATCCATGTCTGAATTGGCCGTTGTCACAAGCGCCCGCACCAGGTGTTCCTCCACCTTTGTCCACACCTCTGGACTTCGGATGTGGTCCCTCAGCGCAGTCACCATTGTAACTACCTTCTCATTCATTAGCTTCTCCTCCAACTGCCTGCCATCAGCCTGATCCAGCCCACTGGACTTGATGACTCTCTCAGCCGTGGCCCTCGACACACAGGGCTTTGGCCACACGGCGCTCACCACCTCTTGCTCTTCTTTCCTTTGCCTTTTCCCTTTCGGCCTTTCGTCCCGTTTGTCGGGGGCATCTCGTCCTTCTCTCCTCCTTCTTTCTTTTCGTCTCCGCCGGCGGGACGTGGAGCGGCGTCCCAGGGGCGTCTCCTCTTCGGCCACTGGCCCTGGTACAACTTGCTCTCGGCTTTGGCCTCCTGTTGGGCGGCCTTCAGTTCCTGCCGGAACCACGCACGTTGTTCTCCTCGGCTGGGATCAATTCCAGCTGGGTCGCCTGTGTCCACGTCCCTTGGGCCACAAAGACTTCGATCGCCTTCACCCTTTTGAGGGCGATGTCCAGGGCTGTCAGGCCGTCGTTGTTGCAGATCAAATCCACCATTGTCGTCAGGGTTCGAAGTTCCCTGAAGTTTCGAAGGCCAATCACAGCTTCCGGGCACTTCACCAGATAAATCTGGCTCAGGTAAGCCCGTGCCACTGCCGGCAGTTGCAAAGCTCCTGATGCCGCTGTGCTTTGCTGGAGAAGTTCGTTGAATCGTCTCAGGGTTATAAGTTGGCCAATTGGTCGTTCTTGGTGTATACGTTGTAACTTCTCCACTCCTTGGGGGAGGGCGGCTAACCGAAAAACCGGGTTTTCAGAGCTAGAGCTGGGCTCTGAGGAGCTGCTGCTGTCTCCCGATCCAGCCTTTTTCTTATCCTTCTTGCCCTTCTTGTCCTTCTTGTCAGCATTCTTTTTCTTCGCACCTTCATCTTGAGTGCAGACAGCTCTGGCGCTGCTGCCGCCCGGTTTTGTATGAGAGTCCCCAGGTCCTTGGACTCAGTCGGTTCCTTTGGGTCCGCAGGGAATGCTTTTTCCAATCTTCTTCGTTTGGCATCCTCTTTCTCTTTCCTGGCCATCTCATCCTCAGCGCCCCGATGACCAAGGGCCGCCGCAAGCCCCTCAATTCCAGGGGCCCCTGTGGCAACTCCAGTCCCCGCCTTAAAGGCCCGCCACCAGCCGAACGACCAGCTGGGGCGGTTCCAGTGGGGCGAGAATTGATGATGCCCTCAATCCGAGCTTTCTCATCATCAGACAGCCATTTGAGGCCCATGGCACTCCGGCCCGGCAGGATCCTGAAGACGTCCATGTGGAGCACATTTCGGAACAGGGTCCCTTGCGTGCATCTTTGCGCTTGCCGTGCGCATGCGTGGAGCGGGACTGCACCACCGGCATACGTCTTGTCATGCCACCAATCGAAGTATGGGTCTTCAATGGCCACCAAGCGGCTCAGCCACACATGCCCTTCGCATCGTTGGCCTTCTTCACCTTGTCCAGTCAGATGAGCCACCGCACGGCCCTGCTGTGCTCCTCGGCCGTCATAAACTGACAGCTTCAGCAGCGTGTCCACCTCGAATCCTATCCAATGGTCTTCTTTGGCCTTCCGGCCAGTTCGGCGCCAGGGTTCTGGCTCCCATGCACCCGCTGGACTAACCCCCTGGATGAACTAGGTCACACAGGAGAGCCAGACAGGCACACAGGAGCGCCAATTGCTTCCTGGCAGCCTCCGCTTTAAACCCTTCCTGAAAGAGCCCAAGTGCTACGGAAAGCACCACTGATTTCACACTATCATTACGGGGGCCCAAGAGTTAGCAAACCATCCCCAAACTTACCGTAAAATTGGTAAAACTACAGTAAATAATCGTAAAACTATAGTAAGCCATCCCCAACTGTCCCATAAATGGGTGGGCTTCCAACCATCAACAAATGGATTTTCCCAGCAAACAAGAACCTCTGAGCCAGCCACGTCTGATTCCCAGAGGGTACTGCAGGATCCAATTCAATTGGTTCAGGGGAAAATCTGGGAACTACCCACAACATGGCCCATAGGACAGCAATGTGGAAACAACGGCAAAAACATCTTGGAGTTTGGGGTGCTATGGGGTACTCTAACC